GCCATGCTGGTCTGGGCTGTGCCATGCCGTGCCGTGCCATGCTGGGCCGTGTCTCCAGGCAGTGACAGCGGCTTGGACCTTGACAGCTGCTGCCCCCATGGACACAGCACCTGTCTTCCACACTGCCTCATTATGCAGCTAAGCCCAGTATTTAAGTGTCCTGCCTGCCTGGTGGCCCTCTGAGCCATGGCAGTGGGCTTCTGGACTTCCCAGGAGCCCACCTCCCTGCACCGACAACAGGTCTGGGAAAAAGAGACAAGCCGGACCCAGAGCACCATCTCCTTGTCTCCCTTCCCCTTGCCTGACCTTCCTCTGTCCCAGGGTAAGGAACAGCTTGGGCTGACAATATCTTGAGGGGGTAGATGGGGCCAGGGTGCAGACGAGAAATGGGTGGTGACAGGGCAATGAGAGCCCTGGCCAGCAGCTTCCAACGAGCATGCAGGACAAAGACGACGACCGGCATGGCAGGGTTGGTAATCAGGAGACCCCCCGCTGGTCCTCAGGGAGCCAGATCAGAATGGTGACTGGCAGACCCTGCAGGGGGCCGGCCAGGCCTAAACGCTTGTGTGGCAAGCAAGCCCATCCGAGTTTCTTTAGCAAGACAAATGACCCGTGCATGGTCACATGTGCACAGGTCAGGAGTCCTGTGTGCTATATTCTTTTCCCACATTGTCATATCAGCATTTTCCTAACATACTCCTCTTAATCTAGGCTTCCGTGGCCAGGGTGGAGAGCAACGTTAGCAGACCCCACGGAAATGCCACCATGGAGAAATGTGAGTGTCCACCACGTGGCAGGTACCCCACTCGGCAGTGGCAGAGCCAGCCCAGCCCCAGGACGGGAAGCTATCAACAGCAGCCCTGTACTTGGGTCAGGCCCTGGCATGGGGCCTCAAGGAGGAGCTTGGGCTCAGAGCCCGAGAGGGGGCACTGCTGGGTCTCAAGCAGGACTGTTCCCCTGCAGGCAACCACATCTTTGTGGACACATGGCTGCCTGACCTGGCCGTGGGACTCATCTTGCTGGCTGGCTCCTTGGTGCTTCTATGCACCTGTCTCATTCTCCTGGTCAAGATGCTCAACTCCCTGCTCAAGGGCCAGGTGGCCAAGGTCATCCAGAAGGTGATCAACACGGGTGAGCTGCAAGCAGGACGGCCCACCCTGTCAAGCACAGGCCCGCCCTGACCACCTCCCTGGCCTCAGTGTCCCCCTGGGGAAGGGATAGGACTGGGTTATTTCAGAGTTTCCAGAGCTGTGAACATCTGGGCCACCTGCAGCTGGCCCCGGTGGGGGGTCCATCCCAGCAGGTGCACACGCTTAATTAGTACCAGAGGCATGGAGGCTGCTCACACAGGGGCTCAGAGCCCAGCAGGGGGAGACGTGCAATGCAAAAATATGGGTGATGATAAATTCCTAGGATAAAAAAAGAGACAGCCAAGATGCAGCCAAGGAGCATGGCAGAGGCTGCTCAGCTCGGCAGAGGCCTCGACACACACACCCTGAGCCTTCAGGGTGGTGAGAGCCACAAGCGCATGGCTCACAGGCAGACTGTGGAATGGAAGAGTCGGGAGAGGGGCGATAGGGCAGCATCAGACCTCAGGGCTGTTCAGAGCTAGGAGAGTGGTATCAGGGCTTGGCCCAGAGGTGACACTGTCGTGTGTATCATGGTGAGCTTTGCAGACAGTCTGGCCATGAGTGGCCTGTGACTCAAGCTGGAGTAAGGGGTATTTGGGTACTTTGGGTGCCCGGAGAAGGGGGACACAAGGGGTGGGGTCAGGAAATGCTTCCAGTGGCCGGGGTGCTAGTGGGGTTATAGGAAAGTCTGTGCTAAGCGCTGGGGGTGAGTGGTTCGACACTGAGTGAGGGTTCTGGGGAGGCCTGGTTTCCCAGGAACAGAAGGCTGGGAAAGGATTGTGGGAGTCAGGGGCATCCAGTGTGGCTGAGCAGGACCCTGGCTGCTCACCCAGTGCCTCCTGCTTACCCAGGCTACTGTGATGGGCTTTCCTTGCAGACCTGCCCTCACCCTTCACCTGGGTCACAGGCTACTTTGCCATGGTGGTGGGTGCAGCCATGACCTTCATTGTTCAGAGTAGCTCTGTGTTCACCTCGGCCATCACCCCGCTCATCGGTGAGTGCCCTGCTCTCCCCACAGAGGTGGGGGCAGGGTGAGGCTGGCAGAAAAGGACTGTGGGGGGCAAAGGAACTGCATCTTTTCTCACTGCACCCCTGCCTCCCCCACAGGCCTGGGTGTGATCAGCATCGAACGGGCCTACCCACTCACCCTGGGCTCCAACATTGGTACCACCACCACTGCCATCCTGGCTGCACTGGCCAGCCCCAGGGAGAAGCTTGCCAGCGCCTTCCAGGTGTGTCCGGGGGCGGTCCCACTTGAGTCAGGGGAACTGGGCATGGAGCTGGGGCATGGAGTCACAGGTAGCAAATACTGTTCAACTGCCTGCTAAGAGCCAGGTGGAATAGATATCCACCTGCTACCTCTCCCAGAAACCCTGGCAGAGACACTGCTCAGTAAGCACAACGTGGCCCTCACCCAGTAGAGCTGCACCTGCAGAGGAGGTGCTGTGAGAGGGGCCTGGCTCAGTCTAGGGCATCAGCGTGCGGCTGGGGCAGACAGCAGGAGCAAGGGAGTGAGCAGCAAGCCAAGGCACTGAGCCGTTGGGTCCAGAGCTGCTGACACTGGCAGTGTCAACTGGGGAATTCCCAGGGCAGGGGTCAGTGGGGGCAACGTGGAGAGTTCAGGGAGGGCATTTGGCAGCTGCTCAGGGGTATCTCAGGACGTCAGTAGCCAGTGTGGCCACCCCAGGGGTGAGCTGAGGCCTCCTGCGAGAGGCCAGAGGCCCTGTGTTCTTCTATCCCTGCTGGCCTCACCCAGCAGGCAGGGCCAGACCTCACCTCAGTTCCACCACTCTTCCACTTGCAGATCGCCCTCTGTCACTTCTTCTTTAACATCTCGGGCATCCTGCTGTGGTACCCGCTGCCCTGCATGCGCCTGCCCATCCGCATGGCCAAGGCGCTGGGCAAACGTACGGCCAAGTACCGCTGGTTCGCTGTCCTCTACCTGCTCGTGTGTTTCCTGCTGCTGCCCTCGCTCGTGTTCGGCATCTCCATGGCAGGCTGGCAGGCCATGGTGGGCGTGGGCACGCCCTTCGGGGCCCTGCTGGCCTTCGTGGTGCTGGTCAACATCCTGCAGAGCCGAAGTCCTGGACGCCTGCCCAAGTGGCTGCAGACGTGGGACTTCCTGCCACGCTGGATGCACTCCCTGCAGCCCCTGGACCGCCTCATCACCCATGCCACCGTGTGCTATGCCAGACCCGAGCCTCGCTCACCGCAGCTGCCTGCCAGGGTCTTTCTGGAGGAGCTGCCCCCTGCCGCATCCTCCCCCTGCCTCACACTGCCTGCTCACCACAATGCTACCCGCCTCTAAGCTGTGGACCTGGATGACCGGCTGGTGTGCGCAGAGCCCAAGGTGGCAGGGTAGGCAGCTGTGTGTGGCTGCCCATGCATGCGTGCCATGCTGGGTGCCTGCGCTTAGGCAGCTGCACAGAGCCCTGAACTTGTGGAACAGTCAGTGCCTGTGACAGTCACCAGTATGTATGTGTGAGCACCTGTGCCTGTGTAGGAGCTAGGGCATTTGGGGACACGCACGTGTAAGTGTGCAGGCTGCAGAGTATGGGGTATGATTCCAGGCCCCTGCCCCTGGGGGGCCTATGATGGGCCAGACTTAAGAGTGAGTGCGGGCACGCAAGTGTGTAGCCATCGGCCCAGGCACAGATGTGGGGGACTGAGTCACTGGCTTCCTGGCCCCCCTCGCCACCTTGCTCCATTACACCATTCTCATCCTTACCCAGGTCCTTCGCACCATTCTGACCCCTCCCCCGGACCCCCCCCCCCCCCCCCGCCTTCCCAACACTGCCTGATAAGGAAAAAAGGAATTAAACAATCGGCATGCATTTGGAAGTCCTGTTGCTTTCCATCTGTGGGTGGGGAAGGGAGGGCAGTAGCTTTGCCAACAGCAGGGGAGCTTGCCCTGGACAGAGCCATCCTGTGCTGAGGAAGCCAGTCCTACAAGCTCGCCCCCAAGATGCACCTTATACTGGGTCAATTAGTCCGATCCACTGTGCCAACTCCTTGGAAGCACCTGCTGGGGTCTGGGGCCAGCCCACTGCCTGCCCTACCTCGAGCAGGCTTCCCCTGCTGGTCTCTCCCTGCCTTCTGAGCTCACCTCCACACACACCCCTGCTGAAGAATGACAGGTGCCAGCATGTCAGGGCCACTGCAGGAGGGGACAGGGTGGGGGAAGGGAGAGGGGCCAGAGATCAAGTTCCATGCCCTGACACAGGGGCCAGATGCCCTCTTTCCCATCTTTGGGTACAAACAAAGCTTCATTTAAAGCCACCACAGCTTTCCCATCACAAGGGCAGCCTGAAGCTGAGCCGACACAGGGAACCTCAAGGGCTGGGGTGGGGCCAAATTCTTCCCTGCAGGCCACAGACACAGGGACCCAGGCATCAAGGCAGGCAGGCTGCAGGACATCATGGCCGTGGACAGTGACCTGCCCAGTGGATCCTCTTTGAGCTACATGGGTGAGGAGCGATCCAGGAGCGTAGGAAACCCAGGGCTGCTCTCCAAGCCTCTCCACCTCCCTGGCCACAGAAAGTGTGACCAGTGGGTGCCTGGGAACAGGTGCTGGCGGCCCTTCGTCCTGCCAAGATGTGTGGAAACATCTGAAAACGAGATGCTGAGGCCCCCACTCGTGTTTCTCTCTCTCTCTCTCTCTCAGGTGCAGGGTCCCTGCTAAAACAAGATGGGAGCACTGGTGCCAGGCTTCTTAAGGAGCCCAAACCCAGCCTCACCAGCTAACTCTCAGGCAAGGATCTTCCCAGAAGCCGGTTTCCTTATTTTCAATTGCCCCAGCCACCCACCTCCCGTGTGCGCGCAAACGCCCAAGAGGAGCAGAAGCTGGGGCGTCCAGATCACCATTTATTTGGTCTGGTTGGTCAGCTAGGCGCCCTGCTTGCGCAGCCCGCGGATTAGCTCGTGCACTGTCTTATTGAGGAGTCCTCCATGCACGCCACGCCGGCCCATGAGCACGAGGAGCGCGCGCGGCGTGTGGCCCACGCAGACGGCACGCCCATCCAGCCCCTTGGTGCGCGCGTCCAGCACACCGTCGCCCTCAGCCAGCAGGTAGTCACGGATGACACAGCAGCGGCGGCCGGCCACACTCAGACCGGCCTGCAGGAAGGTCTGCCGGTCGGGTCCGGTGAGCACACCCACCTCCTGCGGGGAGATGGCGGCCAGCAGGCCCCCGGGCCGCGACGCCCACACGCAGCGATTGTCCGAGTGGCCCACGATGGCCACGTCGTCGATGCGCTGGTCCCGCAGCACCGCGCTGATGTAGCCCTTCCAGTCGCCCATCGTGCTCGCGGCGCGCCCCGCTCCGCCGGCTGCGTCAAGGACGCCTGGTAGCACCGGCTCCCCCTCGCGCGGGGGCAGGTGCGCGGGGTGGGGCTGTGACGCGGCGATGACGCCACAGAGCCGCTCTACCGTGGGGCCGGCGAGAACTGGGAGCCTGGGGGTATGCGGGGGTTGAGGGGGCGGTTTCTAAAGTTAGCTTCTGGGAGGAGAACACCAACTTGATTGCATCATTAAAAGGGCGGATTTAAGGACACAAGGAGAGATGCCGTGCTTGGGCGGTGGCACTCTGGCCACCTTGGAAACTTTGAGGCTGGCAACCCCAGAGGGGTTTGGAGGGTCTGGGAGAAGGCTATGGCCCTCTGTCTCTACCCAAAGTTTTGCATCTCGGCCCCTGCATCTCGAATCCCATCTGGGGAGCTTCAGAGCTATGCCTGGGACCACCGATTTAATTGACCTGACGTGGAGCGTGGTGGATCTTGGGCATAGAGATAAGGTCCCAAAAAGCTTCAGAAGTAACGCCTGAGTCTGTGCATGACTAACAGCTGCCGCTGTGCACGTTAAGGATTAATAAGGTAATAGCGAGACAGAACACACAGTCACTTTGCCCGTGGCTGGGTACACAGGGCGAGCCGGTCCGGAATCCAGCCTCTTACAGACCTCATGACCCGAGGAGCTGCGGCGCGCATGGTTTTCGCCTTAGCACGTCCAAGCGAACCCCCACAAGAGCCGCCCCGCACTGCAGGTTCAAAGCGCTTTATTGAGCCCCTGCACCGCTGCCATCGTCGCTGACCACTCTCCTGTCCCTGGGCCGTCAGGTAGCGGTGTGTTCCCGGATCCAAGCCAGGTAGTTGGTCACGTCCGTGTAGACGCCAGGCTTGTAGCGGTCGCCACAGCCCGAGCCCCAGCTGATGATGCCTCGCAGGGTGAGCTTCGGCTTCTCGTCCCCTTCCTCACACACCAGAGGACCCCCGGAGTCACCCTGCATCTCACGGGACACACAGCGGCTCAGGGTCCTCGGCCGGGGGTCTTCCAGAGACGGAGTGGCAGGGATGGGGAAGGCGCCCGCCTAGCCCGGGTTCTCACCTGGCACGCGTCCGTGCCGCCCTCGAGGAAGCCGGCGCACAACATTCCGGGGAGGATGGCGGCTCCGTGCACGTCGGGGGCGGAGCAGCGCTCGGAGGAGACCAGGGGCACCTGTGCCTCCTGCAGGAAGCTGGAGTACTCCTCGGCCCCTGCGAAGGCACAGCAGCGGCCTCGCTGCGCTCCCAGGAGTGGGGACCAACCCTGGCCCGGCCTTGCTAAACTCGTGCAAGCGAGCCCGACGGGGGGCAAGTGACGCCAACTAGGCTCCACCGGCGGAGTGGAAGCAAGAACCTGCACGCACGCGTCGGTGGGCTGCCAAACCGATCCTTCCGCCGCTGGAGCGCGCTGCTCGTTCTTGCAGCCCGACACCCAGAAGCTAGCAGCAAAGTGCAACTTGCGCTGTGCTCTGGGGGAGCCGGGACGCGACTCGGAAACCCAGGCCCCTGGCTGCAAATCCTCCCAGCCAATCGGGCTAGCGTAGGCATCCCAGAGGACACCGAGGGCATCCGAAGCTCTCCCTCCCGCCCCAAGCTACTGTGCTTACCCTCATACTGGTGGCCCCAGCCAGCCACCTCGCAGAGCACGCCCTCAGATTCCGCAGTCTGGGCGATGCCGCTGGGCAGGCACACGGGCTGCACGTAAGTAGACAGGAGCGCGCAGCTGCCGGTCGCACTTTCCTGCAGGCGCAGAAGAGCTAACCCGGAGCGAGAAGGACGACAGTGAGGCTGGGCCGCTAGGGTCCCACCCCACCCCCACATCCCCAAGCAATACCCCAAGCACCTAAGTCATGCTGGTAGCTGATGGGTGAGAAATCCTCGTGCAGGTGATAGGAGCGCACAGTCAGCGTCTGGCACCGCGCGCAGCTTTGGTTATGTAGTTCCTGGCCTAGCACCACGGTCAGCTCTTCCGGCGCCGGTCTGTGGGCACAGGAAGGAGAGGCAGCACCCCAGAGATGATCCCAACATTGTGGGGGGCTGGGAAGTGGGCCAGTCCGGAGGGGCGGGCAAAGTAGGGTTCCAGCCTTGGTGAGGCCCGCCGGTGGTGTTGGAGGACGAAGGAGCGGGTCCCCGGGGCGGCGCTGGTCCCCGGGCAGCCGCGTACTCACCTGTTCTGGAGGCAGTGGGCCGCCGTCAGCACCCAGCACGGGGCGATGAGGCTGCCGGCACAGAAATTGTGGCCCCAGTACAGCGCGGCCATATAGGGGTGTGCCCCGGGCAGAGCCACCAGGCCACCGACAATCCTGCTCAGCTGCTTGCGGAGCCGCTGGCCGCACTGGAACGGGGGCGTCTGCCCCTGGGACACGTCGGGCAAGGCTGTGAGAAGAGGCTGTCCTCAGGTTGGGGACGCACGGACCCCCGGGGGCATTGGCTGCCGACTGGCTCAGCTCCTGCCCGCTGCGAGGCCTCGCTGGCTCCCAGCTACCTGAGGTCTCGGCCGGAGGAGGCAGCGGCGTCAGGGTGGTGGGCTGAGGTTTCTGCTGTACCGAGGGCCAAGGCAAGTCCTGCCGCTCCGGGAGCACCCGGACCGGAGGTGCGGCCTGGGCTGGAGTCTGGCATGGCTCCAGGGCGCAGTACTCCCAGCTCAACCGATCGCCGCTTAACACGAAGCACCACGGCCGGCGGTCATTGTCCGGGTTCCTGCAGCCGGAGATGGGGCGCGCTGTTAGAGAGGGAGGGTCCCCCCCGATGGTGCGGGCGCTCAGCTAGGGGAACGCGGGGTCCCCGCCCGCGCACCGGCAGAAGGCGTGGTGGCCCAGTCCCAGACGCAGCGCCTGCTCGGCCGTCATGTTCCGGTAGGTGGCCTCCGAGTCCCACGACTGACACGAGGCTCCCGACTCGGTAGTCCTGGCCGTGCCCCGGTAGCTGAGCCCTCTGCCTTCGTAGCAGCTGGCTTCGGTGTCTGCAGGAAGAGCGTTTTCCCCGCAGCCCATGGGTGGCTCTGCCGCGCTGCCTGGAGGCTGTCCCCACTGCCACGCTTTCTCCTCCCCCTCTCCAGCCCTTTTCCTCTAGGATGGCATGCCTCCTGACTTACCCAAGTCGCAGAAGGGCCCTTTGTAGGGTGGGGTGCACCGGCACAGGCGATGTCCCTCCGCCATTAGGCAGCGGCCCTGGTTCAGGCACGGGTTGGTGGGGCACACTGGAGGAAGGTGGGTAGTGAACCACCCTGAAACTTCTCCCCGCAGGTAACCGGCACTCCTCCCCCAGCCTCCTGACCCCCACCGCTTATCCACACTCCCTTCCCCCACCTCAGCTCAGCCCAAACGCTCACCCTGGCTGGCCAGTAACTTGCAGTGCGCATCAGGACCTTTGCAACGGCACCTGGCCACACCTCCCGCCTCAAACCTATACCAGATGTCATTCTCGTGGAAGGTCCGGAAGAGCTGAGGCTCAAAGCACTTCTCTGGGGGGAAGGGGACAGTAAGAGGGGCTGAGGCCCTGCCAGCGGCCGGCGGTCCAGGGGCCTCTCCTGGCTGCCCCGCAGTCGCTGGCCTGCAGCATCGCTCACCTCGCTCGCAGTGCTTCCCTGTGAGGTGCTGTGGGCAGAAGCAGTGTGGACCGCGGGGTGTGTTCACACACCTCCCTCCTCTGTGACAGGGGTTGTGTTTGCCACAGTGATCTGAGAGACAGACATCAGGGTGCAAGACTGAGGCGGCTTGAGTCAGAACCCGGCTGGGGCCCCAGTCCTCCTCCCTGGACCTACTGGGTTTGTGACCTTGGAACTTGAAGCCTCCAAGCCTTGGTTTACCCACCAGCTAAATGGGACCACCCCCTCCCGGGCTTCTTGAAAGGTGTCGTGGCAAGAGGGACGGGGCCAGGGCTAGGAGGCCAGGTGTGGGGCCTGAGGAGTCCCAGGAGGGTCGCTGGGGGAGGACGGGACCCCGCGGCAGCCCTGTGGTTGTGACAGCACCTTGCACTTTCTGGCGCTCCTGACAGTAAGCCCACTGCTGGTCTTGATCGAAGTTGGGTGTGGTGGCACACCTGTAGACACACAAAGCTTTCCTGCTCTGCCTGCCTTCTGCCCGGCCCCGTCTCTCCAGGGTTCCTGGCAGAGCCCACCTCTCCCAGACCCCGCGCCAACCCCTGGGGAGTTTTTCTTACCAGGGCCGGGGGCCGGGCCGGGCCTGGTGGATGCAAGTATAGTATAGCTGTCTGCGGAACTGGAACGGGAAGTGGCAGGGCTCCCCGGTGACAGTGAGAACTGCAGGAAGACACACTTTCTGAGGACCTGGCAGATGCCCAGGCGTGTAGACTGCACCCCCAGGGGTCTGGGTGGGAAAAGGACAGAGACCACCAAAAGATACCATCTTACTCAGGAAACCGGGGTCAAGGGCAGGCACTGGGTTGCAGTGGTTAAGGCACAGTTTGGGGTATCCGCACCCCAAGGCAGAGTGAGTTCAAGCCCTGTGCCCAACTCCAGCTTCCTGTTGATGTGCACCCTGCAAGGCAGCAGGTGACGGCTCTGCCACCTGCATGGAGGTGCTCCCAGTGTCACCTGGCCTGTCCCCAGCTGCTGCAGGCATTACGGAGTAAGCCAGCGGATACGGATCCTCTGGTCTCACTGTCTCAATTTTTTACATGACAGCTGATTAAAATTTGAAAAAAAAAAAGTTGGAATTTGGACTGAGGTATTTGGAATAGACTCAACTCCACCATCTGGTAACCGCATGACCCGGAGCAAGTTCACAGCCGCTGAGGCCTACAGAGCTGCCACAAGGCTGGCACCCAGCGAACACTGGCTGAAGTCAAGCCCTCGGAGCCCAGGGCAAGCTGCAGGGAAGCTGCAGGGTCCACTGCAGTTCACACCCCTGTCAGAGAATCCCTGAGCTCAATCAAGTCCCAGCTCCACTTCTCTTTTTCCTTCTTTCTTTTATTTTAAAGCTCTAGATTTATTGGAAAGGCAGATCAGATTTATAGAAAGAAGGAGAAGCAGAAAGA